AAACAGTCTCCTTAATGCAAATCCCAGACTATCTCCTTGTCTCTACCAGGGTTTACCTGAATCTCTTGAAGGTGGGTTGGGCTCTCCCTCTTTACTAGACCTTTGACCTTGAGTGAGTCACTTAACCTCTGAGTCTTTGTTTCCTCACCTATAGTGTGGAGATTTGTACCTTCTCACACCACCTATTTTGAGGACTAAATGGGATGACATAGGAAGGCACCAGGCACAGAACTTATTTTAATATGCCCTTAAATGTGAGTTTCTTCTTGTCCCAACTCCTCAGATGTCTAAATTTAATTTCGGAGAACTGAAAGTAGTTTAGTTTTACTTTCTCCCTCTTTTTACCCTTTGCTTCTTTTCTTTCCTGTTTTTTTAGTCAACTTACAAAGAAGAAACTTAAAAGAAAATAAATATGCACAAAGGCAGCTTAGAGTCAAGTCAGAAACAGAGAAGAGAAGGTGGAGGGAAGAATTGTGAGCATTTTCCAGCCTGGATTCTGCTTCTGGAGTCAGACAACTTGGAGTAAACTCCCAAATGTGCCACTTACTGTGTACATTTAGTAAATTGCTTATTTACTTGCACCATTATTACATCATCTGTAAAATGGGTGTGATACTCATGGTACCTACTTCATAGGTTTCTTGAGAGATAATAGGTTTTAATCCATGTAAAAACCTAAGGCCTATGCCTAGTAGACAGGTAGTGGTCTGTAAATGAACTATTATTAAGACTATTCCAGGAATCTGATATCAGCCAATATGTGGATGAGAGGATTAAACCGAGACAGATATTCCTGGCAGCCAGAGACAAAAAATGGATAAGAGCACAGATTCTTCAACAGGAACCCATGGACCCTCCATGACTGTCTTCAAATTATATGTGAAAAATCCTCTGCCATGTGCTTACAATAATTTTTTCTCAGGAAAGAGCCCTAAACTTTTGCTCCTAAAGAATCTGTGATCCAAAAAATAATTAAAATTAACCACTAACTAAATGAACTCTTAAGTCCTTTGGTCTCCAAAATTCTACAGTTTCACTTTCAGTACTTACCCTTTTAGACACCGTGTCCCAGAATATGGAAAAAGCGTTGTTTGTGCATTTTGTCCCCCACTTTGGACAAGAGTCATAGTTTATTTCTAAAAAACATAGTTAATAGAAAATAATTAAAGTGGAAAAGAAAGGGTGTAATTAAGCTCTGCTCTTCCCTGGCTATCAGGTCACAGTGGAGCCATTTTCCAATGGCATCAATGCCAAGATGGAGGATGGAAAATGGACACATCTCAATCCAATTTAACTAAGTGCCCCCTGAATCCCATCCAAGTTTTCTTTTTTTTTTTTAGCTGAGCCATCCTGCTACCTGTTGGCAGCTCAGCAGCTGCTCAGCTCGGGCTGGCCTTGAACCGCTGTTGCTCAGAGCTC